GCTTCTTCTCATTCATAACATCCACAATCATCTCTTCTTTATCATCTGCACAACAATCCACGCACATACAGACTTGTGCCCACTTTGACAATTTTCTTCTTACTTATTCTTTTTAGTAATCTTTACAGAGAAAAGGGTTACTATGCCCTTGTTCCCGGCATTTTAGTTGACTTTTACACCATGCATGCTTACGAGTGAAAATTTCTTATTTCCATTCCCCAGTATATAAAAGGAAAGATTAATAAGACCAAGAACATTAAGATAAAATCAAAGAAAACTCACAGATGAAGTGTGTATAAATAAAATGTGTACATGTATTGTGTAGAGGTGACCTAAGTTTTGTAAGTAGAAGTACAAGACATGCCTGTAATCTTGCATATTTATGAGACAGACAAAAGAACATCACAATCCTAACCATCATGTAAAAAACAATCACAGGCTTCGGTTTACACTCACTTGGCAGGACGTAGACCACCCTGGGTGGTTGCTGTCTACCAACCTATCTACCTAACAAAATATATATATATATATATATATATATATATATAAATATATAAATATATATATATATATATATATATATATATATATCTATATATATATTTTCATAGGAAGTAGGTTGGTAACAGCAACCACCCAGGGATTAACTACCGACCTGCCAAATGACTGTGAAACAAAAAACCTGTAACAGTTTTTGCATGATGGAAGGATTGCTGGTTTCTTTTTCTGCCTCATAAACACGCTAAGATAACAGGGATATCTTGCTACTCCTACTTACACTTTGGTCACACTTCATAGACACGCACATGCATATATATAATATATACATCATTTCTAGGTTTTTCTCCTTTTCTAAATAGCTTCTTGTTCTTTTTATTCTTCTATTTCCATGGGAAGTGGAAAAGAATCTTTCCCTCCTAAGCCATGCTGTCGTAAGGGGAGGCGACTTAAAGAAGCCCTGGAGCAATGGGTAGTTACCCCTTCTCCTGATACAATTACTAAAAAAGAGAAGACAGAAAAACATTATAAAACTGGGGTTTGCTTAAATGTGCGTGGATTTAGTGCGATGACAAGAAACAGAATGATTGCTGATGTTATGAATGAAAAAGAAGTTGGATGTCCTGGCCCTAAGAAAGCGAAACAAAAGCATGAGGGTAGGAGAGTTTCATGGGGGAAATAAATGGGATTAAATCTGGAGTATCTGAGAGAGTTTTAGAGCAAAGAAGGGGTAGCAGTAATGTTAAATGATCAGTTTATGGAAGGAAAAAGAGAATATGAATGTGGTAAATTCAAGAATTATGAGGATAAAAGTAAAGGGTAGGATGCGAGAAGGTGGGGTCCATAATAAGCGTGTATGCTCCGGAGAAAGAAGTAATGCAGAGGAGAGAGAGAGATTTTGGGAAGTTACAGTGAATGTATAGAGCCTTTGAACTCAAGAGGAGAGAGTAATAGTGGTAGGGGACTTGAATGCAAAGTAGGAGAAACTTATTAGAGAGGGTGTGGTAGGTAAGTTTGGGGTGTGCCAGGTGTAAATGATAATGGGAGCCCTTTGAATGAACTTTGTATAAAAGGGTTTAGTTATAGGTAATACATATTTTAGAAAAAAGAGGATAAATAGAAAACACGATATGATGTAGGGCGAAATGACGGTAGTTTTGTTGGATATGTATTGGTAGATAAAAGACTGTTGAGTATACTCAGGATGTACAGTTTATAGAGGGTCCGACAGATATATCAGACATTTCACTAGTTGTAGCTACAACTGAGATTAAAAGTAGTATGGTATACAAGAGAATAGAACATCAGGGAAGAGTGAGGTAAAGGTTTTATAAACTAAAAGAGGAGGCCAGTTTAGGGTAAGATATAAACAGCAATTGGAGGATAGATGGGCTAATGGAGAGCATAGGTCAATGGGGTTCCAAGAGTTATGGGTAGTGTTAAAAATGTAAGTGTTTAAGAGTGTTCAGCATGAAGTTTGTGGTTACAATAAAGGTGTGGTGCGAGGAGGGAAGAGGAGGCGATTGGTGGATTGATGGATGTAAGAGAGTAGTAAGGGAAAAAAGTTATGCATATGAGAAGTTTTACAAAGAAGAAGTGATGCAAGGAGGGAAAGTATATGGAAAAAGAGAGAAGTTAAGAGAGTTGGTGAAGCAATGTAAAAAGAGAGCAAATTGAGAGAGTGGGTGAGATGTTATATCAACAAATTTTGTTGAAAATAAGAAAAAAGGTTTTGGAGTGAGTTAACAAGTTAAGAAAGCCTAGAGAACAAATGGCATTGTCAGTTAAAAATCAGGAATAGGAGAGTTATTAAATGGAGAGTTTAGATGGTATGGGAAGAATGGAATGACTTATTTTGAGACTTGTTAAAATGTTGATGAAGATAGGGAAGCTGTGATTTCGGAATAGGCAGAGGAGGAATAAACATCTTGTAGGAGTGAGGAAGAAGTCAGATTGTGAGTGTGGGGAAGTTCGTGAGCCAGTAGTAAAATGAAAAGGGAAGCGCATAGCCGGGATTGATGAAAAGATAGAAATTTAAAAGCAGGTGGGGATATAGTTTATGGTGGTTTGGTGCAATTATTTAATAAATGTATGGAAGAGGGAAGGTACCAAGGTTGGTCAAGATCATGCATATTTCCTTTGTATAAAGCAAAGGGGAGTAAACGAGAGTGCAAAAAATTTATATGGGATAAGTCTGTTGATGTACCTGGGTAAAGTGTATGGGTAGAGTTGAATTGAAAGAATTAAGAGTAAGACGGAGAAAGGATAGCAGATGCACAAGGAGCTTTAGGAAAAGGTTAGAGGGGTGTGTGGACCAGGTGTTTACAGTGCAACATATATGAGAACAGTATTTTAGATAGGCTAAAGAGGTCTTTGTGGCATTTAAGGATTTGGAAAAGGCGTATGACAGGTGGATAGGGGGCAATGTCTAGGCAATGTTGCAAGTGGTATGGTGTGATATGTAGGTGTCGAAAGCAGTGAAGTTTTTTACGAGGATAGTGAGGCTCAAGTTAGATATGTAGGAAAGAGGGAAATTTTTTCCCAGTAAAAGTAGGCCTTAGACAAGGAAAAGTGTGAATGTCACCTTGGTTGTTTAATATATTTTATAGATGGGGTTGTAAGAGAAGTAAATGCGATGGTTCTTGGCAAGAGGCTTGGAGTTAAAAAGCAAAGAATCACACACAAAGTGGGAGTTTGTCATCAGCTGTCTTTGCTGATGACACGTGCTCTGGGAGATTTCTGAAGAGGAAGTTGCAGAGATTGTGGATGAATTTGGTAAGGGTGTCAAAAGAAGAAAATTAAAGGTGAATAACAGGGAAAGGAGTAAGGTTATGAAGGATAACAAAAGATTTAGGTGATTGAAAGATTGAATATCAGATTGGAGGAAGAGTATGAGGAGGAGAACGTATTCAGATATTTGGGAGTGAAGTGTCAGCGGATGGGTCTATGAAAGATGAGGTGAAATCATAGAATTGATGAGGGAAAAAGAGTGAGTGGTGCACTTATTAGTCTGTGGAGGACAAAGAACTTTGTCCCTTGGAGGCAAAGAGGGGAATGTAATGAGAGTATAGTTTTACCACCCGCTCTCATATGTGGTGGTGAAAGCGTGGTGATGAATGTTGCAGCGAGGAGAAGGCTGGAGTCAGTGGTAGAGATGTCATGTCTGAGGGCAAATGTGTGTTGTGAATATAATAGCAGAGAATTCGTATTTGGAAGTTAGGAGGAGGTGCGGGATTACCAAAACTGTTGTCCAGAGGCTGAGGAAGGGTTGTTTGAGGTGGTTCGGACATGTAATAGAAGATGGAGCGAAACAAGAATGACTTCAGAGTGTTCATCTGTAGTGGAAGGAAGTGCCGGGTAGGGGTCGTCCTAGGAAGGGTTGGAGGGAGGGGTAAAGGCGGTTTTTTGTTTGCGAGGGGCTTGGACTTCCCAGCAGGCATTCGTGAGCGTGTTAAGATAGGATTGAATGGAGACAAATGTTTTAATACTTGACGTCTGTTGGTGTGTTGAGCAAATGTAACATTTATGAAGGGATTCGGGGAAACTGTGCAGCCGGACTTGGATGTCCTGGGAGATGGGAAGTACAGTGCCCACACTCCTGTAGGAGGGGTGTTAATGTTGCAGTTTTAAAAACTGTAGTGTAAAGCACCCTTCTGCAAGACAGTGATGGAGTGAATGATGGGTGGAAAGTTTTTCTTTTTCGGGCCACCCTGCCTTGGGGGAATCGCCTGGTTGTGAGAATAATTAAAAAATATATATTTTCTTTTTCCTTTTCCTTTCAACAAAGTACGGCCGTCCCCACTGAGATGCTGAGGGGAAAGTGAGTGTGCCTTAGGAGTCTATGGAGACAAAGAAGTTGGAGGGAGGGGGTAAAGGAGTTTTGTGTGCGAGGGTCATTGACTTCCAGCGGCATGCGTGATGTCTTCATAGGAGTGATGGAGACAAATGGTTTTTGTAATACTACGTGCTGTGGAGTTTGCGCAAAGTAACCATTTATGAAGGGTTCAGGGAGAGACCGGCAGGCCGGACTTGAGTCCTGGAGATGGAATGTACAGTGCCTGGCACTCTGAAGGAGGGGGTTTAATGTTTGCAGTTTAAAAACTGTAGTGTAAAAGCACCCCTTCTGGCAAGACAGTGATGGAGTGAATGATGGTGAAAGTTTTTCTTTTTCGGGCCACCCTGCCTTGGTGGAAATCGGCCAGTGTGATAATATAAAATAATAAAAAATAATTTTTTTTTTTTTCATTGGCCGTCTCCCACCTAGGCAGGGTGACCCAAAGAGAAAGAAAATCCCCAAAAAGAAAATACTTTCATCAGCATTCAACACTTTCACCTCACTCACACATAATCACTGTTTTTGCAGAGGTGCCCAGAATACAACAGCTTACAAGTATATACGTATAAAAATACACAATATATCTCTCCAAACTGCCAGTATCCCAAACCCTTCCTTTAGAGTGAAAATATAGGTGTCAATCATTCACTTTTTTTTTTTTTTTCAGAGGGGTGAGGGTCTTAACACCATCAGAAGTGAGGCCATACACTTCAATGAGTGTAAGTGCTTTATTTTGTTACAGTTTTTAAGGTTGGTATCTGTGTAAATTATAAAGCAAATTTTGTCTAACACCTCATTTAATGCAGAATGCTGTCCATATAGACAAGCCATTGTGTATCTACCTACATTCTTTTATACTTGTGTCCATCATTTATTTGTATTTTTTGTACATTTCACTAACTTTTTTTATTGTGTTCATTTTCAAACTCTGCCATGCATTTCCACTAATAAATTATTTGTCAGTGGCTCTACATCTAATATTTTCATTAGCAACCAGGTGCATGAATTGTATTATCAACCTGTCAGTTCCTAAGTCTTTAAGCAGTAGTAATGATGCTGGCTGCACTGTTGATGAGATGCTCATTTTTATGTTGTTCAAGGGATGTGAGAATACTGGAATAATTTTTTTTAATATGCATGTGATAAGCTCTGACTCTTGGACTTGTTTCTTAACTTTTGGCTTATTGATGTGAAATGGTTCTGTCCTATCGATTTTTGAATAACAGTATAGAGTCCATTTTTTTTTTTTTTTTTTTATTATCATCACACTGGCCGATTCCCACCAAGGCAGGGTGGCCCGAAAAAGAAAAACTTTCACCATCATTCACTCCATCACTGTCTTGCCAGAAGGGTGCTTTACACTACAGTTTTTAAACTGCAACATTACACCCTCCTTCATAGTGCAGGCAACTGTAACTTCTTTCCCATCTCAGGACTCAATCCGGCCTTCCGGTTTCCTGAACCCCTTCGTAAATGTTACATGAGCCTCACACTCCAACAGCACGTCAAGTATTAAAATCCCATTTTTCTCCATTCTCTCTCTATCAAACAACGCTCACGCATGCCCTGCTGGAAGTCCAAGCCCCCCCTCGCACACAAAACCCTCAATTACCCCCTCCCTCCCAACCTTTCCTAGGCCGACCCCTACCCCGCCTTCCTTCCACTACAGACTGATACACTCTTGAAGTCATTCCTGTTTCGCACCATTCTCTCCACATGTCCGAACCTCCTCAACAACCCTTCCTCAGACCTCTGACAACAGTTTTGGTAAGTCCCGCACCTCCTCCTAACTTTCCAAACTAAGAATTCTCGCTTAAATTCACACCACTACATGCTCTCAGACATGACATCTCCACTGCCCTCCAGCCTTCTCCTCGCTGCAACATCATCACCCATGCTTTATCCACCCATACATAAGAGCGTGTAAAACTATACTCTCATACATTCCCCGCTTTGCCTCCAAGGACAAAGTTCTCTTTGTCTCCAACAGACTCCAAGTGCACCACTCACCTTTTCCCCTCATCAATTCTATGATGTCACCTCATGCTTTCATAGACCCATCCACATGACACGTCCATCCCAAATATCTGAATACATACACCTCCTTCCATACTCTCTCTCCCTCCAATCTGATATCCAATCTTTCAACACCTAATCTTTTTGTTTTAAATCCTCATAAACCTTACTCTTTCCTGTATTCACTTTCAATTTCCTTCTTTTTGCACACCCTACCAATTTCAGCCACACAATCTCTGCAACTTCTCTCAGAATCTCCCAAGAGCACAGTGTCATCAGCAAAGAGCAACTGTGGACAACTCCCACTTTATGTGGTATTCCTTTATCTTTTAACTCCTCCACGCCTCATGCCAAGACCATCGTCATTTACTTCTCTTACAGGACCCCATCTATAAATATATAAAACAAACCACGGTTACATCACCATCCTTGTTCTAAGGCCTACTTTTACTGGAAATAATTTTCCCTTTTCCTACATACTCTAACTTGGAGCCTCACTATATCCTTGTAAATCACTTCACTACTGCCTTTCAGTAACCTACCTCCTACACCATACACCTGCAACATCTGACACAGTTGCCCCCCTATCCACCCTGTCATACGCCTTTTCCGAAATCCATAAAATGCCACAAAGACTCTTTAGCCTTATCTAAATACTGTTCACTTATATGTTTCACTGTAAAGCACCGGGTAACACACCCCCTCTACCTTTCTAAAGCCTCCTTTGTTCATCTGCTATCCTATTCCCGTCTTACTCTTAATTCTTTCCAATAATAACTCTATCCATACACTTTGCCAGGTAAACTCCAACAACTTTCCCCCCTATAAATATTGCACTCTCTTTTATTCCCCTTTGCCTTTATACAAAGTACTATGGCATGCTTCTCTGCCAATCCCTAGGTACCTTATACCCTCTTCCATACATTTATTAAATAATTGCACCAACACTTCCAAAAACTAATATCCCCACCTGCTTTTTTTAAAAAATTTCTATCTTTATCCCATTTATAGATGTTTAATTGTTTCTACTCATTCCATTTCTTGAGTGTTGTGTTGGTGGTGTGTGTTGGTGTGTGTTGATATTGTGTAGTGTGTTTGTTGACAATAAGGCCTTGTACATAACAGTAAGGCCACATCTTATCCCTCCAAACTGCAAATATACCAAACCCCTCCTTTAAAGGTGCAGGCCATTGACTTCTGCCATTTCCAGGACGTCAAGACCGACTATATGAAAATAACCTGTTTCCCTTATTTATATTTTTTATTTATTTATCACACTTGGCCCGATTCCCACCAAGGCAGGGTGGCCCTAAAAAGAAAAACTTTCACCATCATTCACTCATCACTTCTGTCTTGCAGAAGGGTGCTTTACACAACAGTTTTTTTAAACTGCAACATTAACACCCTTCCTTCAGAGTGCAGGCACGTGTACTCCCATCTCCAGGACTGCAAGTCCAGCCTGCAGGTTTCCCTGAATCCCTTCACTAAATTTACCCGCTCACACTCCAACAGATCGTCAGGTCCCAAGTACCATTTCGTCTCCATTCACTCCTATTAAGAACGCTCATGCACGCTGCTGGAAGTCCAAGCCCCTAGCCCCACAAAACCTCCTTTACACCCTCTTTCCAACCCCTTTCGAGGACGACCCCCCTACCCCTCTCCTTCCCTAAGATTTAAATGCTTTCCATGTCATTCTACTTTGATCATTCTCTCTAATGACCAAACCACCATCAACCAACCCCTCTTCTTCTGCCCTCTGACTAATGACTTTTATTAACACCACACACCATTCTCCTAATTTTCCACACTTGGAACACTCCGATTTTCTGCATAATATTTACAACCACACATTGCCCTTAAACACGACATCTCCGACTGCCTCGAACCATCCCTCGCTGCGTGCCATTTACCACCCCAAGCTTCACACCGCATATAAGAGTGTTTGGTAACTACTATAATAAACTTTCATAATCCCTTCTTTGCCTCATAGATAACGTTTTTGACTTCCCACATTACCTCAACGCGCCACTCACCTTTTCTTCCCTCATCAATTTCTATGATTAACCTCATCCTTCAAATAAAATCCATCCGCCGACATACGTCAACTCCCAAGTATCTTGAAAACATTCACTTCTTCCATACTCCGTCCTCCCGCATTTGATATCCAATTGTTTTTCTCTAAATCATTTGATACCCTCATCACCATACTCTTTTCTAAGTTCACTTTCAACTTTCTACCTGATAACACACAATCTCAAACCTCATACCACTAACCTTTGCAATTTTCTTTAGAATCTCCGCATAAGCACAGTATCATCAGCAAAAAGTAACAGTGTCAATGTCCCATTTAGATTTGAATCCCCATAATTTAATCCCACCCCCTCCCCGACACCCTAGCATTTACATCTTTTACAGACCCCATCAATAATATATTAAAACAACACCCATGGTGACATTACAACATCCCTGCTAAGGACCTAACTTTTACTGGGAAGTAATCCCCTCTCTTCACACACCCTAACCTGAGCTCACTATTCTTCACATTAAAGCCTCTTTACAGCATTTAGTAAACTTACCAGCCCTATTCCATATACTTGCAACATCTGCCACATTGCACTCCCTATCCACACTATCATAGCCATTTTCTAATCCATAAATGCAATAAAAAGCATCCTACCTTTATCTAAATACTGTTCACATATATGCATAAATGTAAACACTTGATCTACACATCCACTACCCACTCTGAAGCCTCCTTTCTCATGCCGCAATTCTACATTCTGTCATACCTCTAATCTTCTTTCAATTATAACTCTACCGTATTACTTTTCGCTGGTATACCTTGAAACTTATTCCTCTATAATTCTACAATAGTCTTTTGTCCCTTCCATTCCTTTATATAAAGGACTATACAGGCTCTCTGCCAATCCAGAGGTTACCTTCCCCTCTTTCATACATTTTATTAAACAAAAGTACCAACCACTCCAACACATATCCCCCCCCTGCTTTAACATTTCTGTCATGATCCCATCAGTTCCAGCTGCTTTACACCCCTTTCATTCACGTAATGCCTCACGTACTCTCCACCACACATACATTCAGCGCTTCTTCACTCCTAAAGATGGTATACTCCCTGGCCAGTGCATGAAATTACCGGCCTCCCTTTCTTTCCTCAACATTTAAAAGTACGCTCAAAATAATTCACGTCACATCTACCTAATACCTCCCTCTCCACCCATCTACTTACTTCCCCTACTCTGTTTTTAATGACAAATCCATACTTTCCCTAGGGCTTTCTAAACTTGTTTAACTCACTCAAAATTTTTTCTTATTTTCATTAAAATTACTTGACAGTGCCTCTCCCACTCTTTCAATCTGCTCTCCCTTTTGCACTCTATCAATCCACTCTCTTCACCAATCTTTTACCTCCAATATACTCTGACTGCTCATTCTTATAACACTCCTGCTTTGTAAAAACCTCTCGTAAGCTACCTTTTTCTCTTTTAATTCACACCCTTACTTCATATGTATGTAAAATATATAAAATATAATGATATATATATATATATATAATAAATACATATAAAGTTGGATGTGAAAAAGTGGTTAGTAAAGCGTGTAAGCACCTGGAAAAGAGAGAAGTGTAGAGTAGAGAGAGAGATTCTGGAAATGTTGAGTAGAACGCTTGGGGATTTTGAATCAA